GTGACGCATGTTATAGAACTAAAGCTTACTGCTCTGTGCCACATGTCGCCAGGCATGTGGTATGAGCCGCAACATATAGCCCCTTTTTCAGAGAAGTTGATTGTTTATTCTTTGAGTCATGAAATTATATTTATGCTTCTATTAGCCATCTTATTTGAATATACTTTTTACAAAGTTAAGATCTCACTAAAAACAATTAAGGGTTATAACTCTAATATTGTATTATTATTGTATGTTATTATGTGTCAGGAATGGTAAAGTCTAGATTATATGGGGGACTTTATAGTAGGTGCTAGAGAAGAGGATACACTAATTATATGATCTTGAAGAATGTAAATACTATCTTGAACCTCAACTGTACCAATCATCTTCTAAGGGTCCAGAACCTAAATAGAACAATAATAGGAAGTTAGAATTAAACAATAGAAAAGGTAACAAGTTTAGAAATGAAAATTAGATTATAGTCAATTTGGGGAATAAGCAACACATTAGTAAGGCAAAAAGTGGGAAAGAGAGATGGTGTCTGAGTAACAAGCCTGAACAATGGAATCATTAGGTAACTAAACAAAAATAGGAGACATAGAGACTAAATTAGAAAATCAAGAAATAAAAGAGCAAATGTGATTGGTTACACTATTATCAATTATCCAAGCAGAGGAGAAGCATTTAGTGGAGAGCAAGTGAGAAATAGTTAGAAGCAGAGATGCATTTAAAGAATTATTGGAAGAAGCAGTCATAAGATTAACTTGTGCCAAAGGAGATAAAGACATAAAAGATGCAAGATTCTACATAAGCGCAAGAAGTTTATTATATTAGTCCCTTGTGAACTGCAAAGAGGCAGCAAAAGATGAAGATCAAGTGGTGCCATCAATCGGTACAAAAGCATTTAGAGTAGTTGTAAGGTGCACGGAGGAAGAATCTCGAGGCTTATAACTAGGTAGATAACCATGCTTCTTGTAATAAGTTTCCATGGTATGCCGAGATTTGTAGCAAAACATGTAAAATTTAGTGTTGTTTTTAATGTTTCGTGCAAGAGCACTTGTAAGAACATGAGGACAAGATGAGGTGCGATTAAGGAAAAGTTTAAGTGCCATACCCAAAGCAAGTTCGCGTTCTTGGTGAATAACTAGTTGAAACACACGATTGATCGAAAGTAAGGGATCAATGACCATAAACTGTGATTAGATGGCAGAAAAACGCCCATTCAATCCTTTGAGAAATCAAATGACATAATCTTGTTCAAGATATGAGTGTGCACGGGTAAAAGCTTTGTAAGAACAAGAAGGGGAACATGAACAATGAGGAACTGGATAAAAATTGGTTAATTCATCCTAAACAATCTTCAACCGAGTATAATATTTTGTGACAATCGAATAACCTTGCTTCAACTGATAAAGTTTTTCTTGAAGTTCACAAACTCAAAAATATCACTCGGACTAAATCAATCTTGAAGATTAGACCAAACTTTATACGCTTGATCAATCCACATGATGCTTTATGCAATTGTCAGTGTTAACAATCGAGTAAGCTAGGTAAGGATGAGATAGTTGCAATGTTGCCATAAGAGGAAAAGCGGATTGAAAGTTCTTGGCATAGGAAGACTTCCATCGATGAACTGAAACTTGTTATTGGATAAAAGGGCTATCTTCATAGCCTATACCCACAGATGGTAGTTGTCGCCATTCAATGTTGGAGAAACAAGAACTAACACCGAATTTTCATTTGGATGAAGATAATACAATAGCTAGCCAGATTAGTAGAGGGATCGAGAGATGAAGTCATATGGTTAAGGTTTAATGGCAGGAAACAAGGCAAAGGGAAAAGGGTAATGTAATTGACTCTGGTACCATAATACAATTTGTGAAAATAAAAACTTATCTGATTAATTTTAATACGAGATGTATTTATATGAGGTAAAAAGATCTATCAAGACCTATAAGAGAATAAAATAAAGATAAATCGAGATATATCAAAGAATAAAATAATAACAGAAAATAAAGTAATTATAACCACCCTAACTATATAAAATTATATACAATAAAAAATATAATATTGTCTTTTGTTATCTTTCTGTTGTTCGTATAATAAACAAGAAAGCATTACCTTCAACCTCCTTTTAACGATGGCATCCAAAATACATGACATTGTTCGAAGTCCTGTGGGGTGACCCTTGCAAGATATGCTCCCAAATTAAATACCTTACTGCCAAAGCCTAACTTCAAAATCTTCCTCTCTCTCGGAGAAAGGAGCCAAACAAGTTGCAGACTACCTCTTGAGCAACCACCTTGGTTGGCCCAACTTTTTAAATAACGTTGCATATATCAACTTTTTTTTTTTTTAATCGCAGTTCTAGTGTCACTGCCAATGCATTTCAAGCTGTATGGATTGCCTTCTTTACTTTAGGGACGATTATGATCAGCCCAAGGTCACATACATTTGGACATTCTAATTAGCAATATATATACGGTTTTAGTGTTTTTTTTTTTTAAAGTTCATTTAGATATCAAAACTGAAAGTAAAGAAGAAGGTCATATTGCGATGATCTAGTGTACGTGCATGTTGACAAAAGATGAACGCAAATCAAACTAGTCCAGATCAATAATGAGCCAATGCCATCATGCGAACCCCAACGCGCCTTAGAGCCACAAAAGGGGAAGAAATTGATACGAACCGAGGCCAACGACGAAGAAGGACTTTATATGGGACAGCAAGATATATCAAATAAAATGGGAGAGACTGGACAAGCATCAATTTTATATGGGTTTAGTAAATGTTATCTACTATAATTTTGCATAACCACACTCGCAATTCAATTTGAGTTTTCAGCGTTTCGCTCATTAACCCAGTTTTCCATTGAAATTAGTTAAATTCAGTGGATCAATTTATCACCTTTAATTATGCAACTAACTAATGTTCATTCAAGTTAATAATTCGCACCTTCTTTTTTGTTGTTGATTATATTAAGTTCTATAAAGTTCTTTTTATTTTTTAAGTTACGGTGCTTCTAAATCTGTATGATAACGAATCATGAAAATAATCTAGCTCGTAAAAAATATACAAATGATTTCTTAGCACAAAACCATCTTCCAAACATGAAGGGAAAAAGAGGGAGAAAACCGAAAAATATTAAATACTTTATCCATTCAACCTAGACTGTTCATAATAATAAGAAATTCTCTAGAGTTATTTATAGAGTCATGCAAATAACAAAAATAATAATTTAATCATAATCCTAAGAGATAAAATTAAAAATATAAAAATAGTCTATATTTACCTAAATATTCTATACTTTATTGAAAATAAATAAAATCTAAAATACTTATTCGTAAGAAACATAATGATAAGGACAACTAATTAAATCCTAATTAATCGCTTTGCAATCCCTTTAATATGTTGTCCATTTGCCGCATGGGTACGAAGCTTTCATGTCCACATGACCTCCATTAAAGCAATGGTACTTCCAAAGGCAATAAAACAAATTAAAGGCAATTATTAGATAGTACCCAACGCCACGTTCCCATATTGCTATTTGTTGCTTCACGCATGGTCCAGAATCGTGAGCAAAAGTAGTTTCTCGCTCTGCTTTAGCATTGGAGACCTCTCTTAAATTAAAATCAGTAACTAAGCCCCATCACCTTTATTCGTAAATAAGACACGTGCTATAAATTAAAAAAAAAAGGGGATTGAAAGTGGCGTCCCAATAGGGTAAGAAAGAAACTAGCTAGCTATCGTTAAAGAAGGCACAGCAGCTATGGTATTGCAAATATATGTGTGTGCAGATTTCAGTAATTTTTTTTAATTTTCTCTCGAGATATTTGTTGAATATAAAAGGATAAAATATTTAATTCCACAACAATATTAGGTTGATGCTGCTCTTGCACCTTGCTGATCCCAGTGCTAACAATTTGAATTTTTTTATGATTATAAAAATAAATATATGTGACATGACATGTTTTTAAATATAAAAATAAAATAAGAATAGTTTTATGCAGCACACCAAAAGAATAGTTTTATGCATGAATGTAATTATATTTTTGCTGGTGTAAAATATCATCAGCTAGTCGTGTCAAATTTGTATTCTTCTTAGAGATAAAGTAAGAATCAATTAAGCAGCAAAGTTTGCCCCTAAATAAGATCACATGACAACGGTAATTATTGGACCCCTTGTGTCAAGAGTTCAAAAGCTTGTGCTATCACATTGATGATGAAGCAAGAATAAAAAATTATTGGCAATTACAACTTTGAAATAATACATTCATCATTAAAAATATTTACGGAGAATATCGATTAACGGTAGCTGTTAATTATATTGAATCTATCTAATGCATGCCTCACTTAACAAATACAACGAAAACCTGAAAAAAATGAAACGCATCCCTATCTATATCTTATGCAAATTACAAAGATCAAATTAAAACGGAGGATCTGTCTCCCTGGTAGTAGTTTGCATGGTCCTAGATAGCTACGTTATTTCGCATAATACATTTCCGTTCCTCTTTATTTGTATAAAAGTAAAAGGTTAAGAATTATTTTTGCCCATTAACTTTATTCAAGAGTCACTAAAAACCCTAAACTATAAATTATTTCTTTTTCTCAATGTTAAAAATTTACTCTTTTATCACCCTTATATTAAAAATACTTAACATTTATTAGTCGTTAGTAGGTCTCATTACTTTTTAAATATTTTTGCACATCAACTTTTATTCGAATGGTCAGTAGGTACTTTCAACTTAAATATTTTATAATAAAAAATATTAAAAAGATAATGTAGGGCTCTCTAACGATAAGAAAATGATAAGGTAATGAAAAAATAAATATTTAAAATTAAAGGATAAAAATAATTTATAATTAAATTTAATATCCCCAGTGAGCTTTCGAGTAAATTGAGAGCAAAAATAACCTTTGACGTAAAGTAAAATAATTTGACGCTTATGGCCCTAGCCTAGCCCATTGTAAAATTGGTGGCTCGTGTCTTTCCTTCTCCGATCCTCAAACAAGAAAGGACATTGGCTTTAATTTGCTTCTCTCAACTTTCTTTCATGGCTTCCAAAATACAAGTTCTCATCCTCCTCTTTTCGCCCTTCTTGCTTCTGTCTCACTTGAGCTCGTCCCAGGCTTGTCCAATTGTCACCTACTGGGGACAGAACAGGGATGAGGGAGAGTTGGATGCAGCATGCAACACCGGAAAGTACGACATCATAAACATAGCATTTATGAACACCTTCGGCAATGGACAAACTCCAAACATAGACCTCTCGGGACATTGTTCTGCGTCCTGGGGTGTTCCTTGCACTAAATATGCCTCCCAAATAGCCACATGCCAAAGCCTAGGCGTCAAAATCTTCCTTTCTCTCGGAGGAGGCTGGGGACCCTATAACCTTTCTTCAGCTGAAGAAGCCAAGCAGGTTGCAGACCACCTCTGGACCAACTACCTCAGTGGCCAAACTGGTTCAGCAAGTCTGCTTGGAGATGTGGTCTTGGACGGCATTGATTTTGACATCGAAAATGGTACAGACTTGTACTGGGATGTGCTTCTAAAAGAGCTCTCCGCATACAGCCAACAAAAGAAGCTCTACTTATCAGCAGCTCCACAATGTCCTATACCAGATTACTACTTAAACACTGCCATAAGCACTGGGCTGTTCGACTACATTTGGGTCCAGTTCTACAACAACCGTCAGTGCGAATACACCGATGATGGGGACACTCAGAAACTTATAGATTCATGGAACCAATGGACCACCGACTTCACCGCCACCAAGTTCTATGTCGGCCTCCCGGCGTCTCCCGAAGCAAATGGTAGTGCTGGTGGTTATGTCCCAATTGATGTGCTCAACAACGAGATTCTTCCGGTAGTAGAAACCAATCCCAAGTTTGGCGGGGTGATGTTATGGAGCAGGTACTATGATAATAAAACTAGGTACAGCGATCAGATCGCATGTACTACCCCTGGAGCTTTTAATGTTGCACGTGCGCCGTTGGTCGCCATGATGAAATCTGCCTCGGAGGTTCTGTATCGCCTTTTACCGCAGTTCTAGCGTGACTGCAACCTCTCTACTACATGTCATGTGTGGAAAAAGTTATAGGGGGCTAGTGCCTTCCATCTTTAAGTGATAACAGCCTGATTCTAGTCAAGCTGTCATCATTAATAAATAAAAGCTTTCATTGAGTACATGATAATATTGTCTTAAGGTTTTAGTTTTTTCTTTCTTGCCCATTTGGATGTTGTTCAGCAACACAAATCAAAATGATCCCATGGCTCAATGATGTCCTTATTTATTTAAATTAAAATACAAATATATCCTAAATGTAATTCGCATTCCACAACAAAAATATAGCAGATTAGTGACAAAATTTAGTGATTGAATAAATTTTTATCGCTAACCCTTCACTAATTCTGTCCCTAAATTAGCGATGTAATTTTTTTAATGTTATAAAAAATATTAATAAAAAATTAACAAAAAATTTGAAATAAAACTTTAAGACCAAACCGTTCAAAACTTCAAATAATTAATTTTCGCCGTACAGATTTTATCTTGAGAACGAATAGACGTTGCTCATCCAAAATCAAGTCGGCACTGGTAAAAGAAAGATTAAATGCTTTTTGTGATTAAAAAAAAAACTTACTCATGAATTTTAATTCCTCTATTCCATGACAAAATACCATGTTAATTATCGCAAACATTCTAGGTGTCTGTGTCACTCTCTAAATAACTTTTCCAAACTTACCAGCGTGTCAGGGATGAGTTTGCGGGACAGACAAAATTTTGTATGCATGCATCATATCCCAAAATTTTATCCAAAATAAAATAAAATAAAATAAAATTGACGTCCCATAAATATTCAAAAAACGACGAAATGCAAGCTTGTCCGTTATGTTTTCTTTTCTTTTCTTTGTTTTTTTTTTTTGGCCTGATGTCCGTCATGTGAATTAATAGAAGGACTAGCTACTCTAGATTAGAGTAGGCTTAATTTAATTTATTATATAATATTTGAGTGTTTCGATATTTTGTGAAGAGATCATATTATTGAATATTTTTTGCAAACGGGTAAATTAATGGACTGTACCAAATCAGTCTTTTTTAATTTAAGAAATTAATAAGCCTATGAATGGATTTCTCTTCCTTACTCATTTTATGAATTTTTTTACCATAAAATTTTGGGTAAATATAATTGCTGATCCCTATTTCATGTCCCATAAATTTTCAGTTTATAACATCAATTCTTATTATTATTGGCAGAGTTAAATTTATTCATGTGTTAGACATTGTAAGAATAAAATGGTTACTAAATTTTCTATCTAACTGTCCTAACAGTCTATATTTTCCTCATTTTGAAGTTCATTCATTATTTGTTTAAGAACTTTGATTTAATGTCTTATCCCCCCCCCTTGTACACATTTTCTTGCCATAATCTATAGTAACGCGTCTCCAACATAAAAAGGCCAGCATACATATATATATATATATATATATATGTGCGAGATAAATGCAGGGTATCGAAATTTTAAATAAATTTGCATGACTTTTGTTTTTTCCTCGTACAAAGGTAAGACCCACTAGGTGTTTTTTCAAATATAGATGAGGCCTCTTTAAACTTGTAGATCTGAGACCATGTTATGAACAAAATTGTCGATGAAGTTGTATATAATAAAATATATTCCTCCTTTTAAAAAGTAAGTAAATTTTAATCAATTCATGCATTATTCAAAAAAAGTTATTTTAACATAGTAATTATATCTCATAAAATATCATAAATAAATAAGAACACAGATGCTTAAACAGTTAAACCAATGTCGAATCTCGGGAAAAAACTAATTTTGAAGCCATCAATTTCTTAACTCATGCCATTAATTATCGTCGTCCTCTCTCTCATATAACTTAACTTTTATGTTAATTATTTTATTGGTGCTTAGTTCAGAGTGTTTTGAGAGAGAAATCACGTGTTGCGCGGTGCAAGGGTGAATTTGGAAAGTCAGGAATTTTAATCGCAATTAATGCTCTAGCTAACTGAATCGATTTGTATATGAATGAGAGAAAATGAGCTTCTTTAAAATTGGAGTTTTGGCAAAGTATTTAGTATTAACAAAATTTTATTTTTATCAAATTATCTTATATTTTAAGATAATGAAATATTTTTAAAATTGTCTCTTAATCTAGGATGAAAGGAATATTATTTAATTTAAAGTCGCACGTGTAATTCCTGCATCTCTAAGAAAAATGAGAAAATGACCCGATTAGCCAGCAGCTGACGTGGATGAATTCGTAAAGTCTGTATGTAAGGAATAAGATGGTACAATGACGATATGATCGGATGGGATCGTCTCCAAAGTTCAAACGTGATAATTGCATGCCTCGTTTGATCAAATTTATGTCTTGATTCTCTGATCAAATTTATCTCTATTCCTTGTATCCAATAAGTCACATTCAATAATTGCTAGGAAAAATACTTGTGAAGTCCTATTCAAGGAATTCAATTACCCTCAAACTCATGAAATGCTCAAATTACTGCCAAGTCTCAAATTTTCGTACAATTATAAAAATATTATTATATTATTTTATTTTTAAAAAATATAATTTATCCATCATCTTAGCAAAGCTGAGGAGACCAGCAGGCTTAGGAGTATTAGGACCGAAAACCATATGGTTTCCAAAATATTTGCTAACTGTTAGGCCATTTATACTTATTCATATAATAGTGCAAAATATTATACATATTTAATAATTTGTGTCAAAACTAAACTTGGATAAAAGAAAACTACAACTTGGCAATGATAAATGACAACTTAGATATAAAATAACAACTTTAATATAAGTAAAAAAACAAAGGTTATATGAAAATAACAACTTGATAAAAAAAAATGACAACTCAAGTATAAAAAAATGGCAACTTGAACTTACAAAAATGATAACTCAGGCGTAAAAAATAAACAACTTGCAGTTTAGGTAAATAACAATTGGAGTCTGGGGATATGAAAATAACAACTTGACAAAACAAAAGGATAACTTGAGTTTAAATAAATAGCATTTTGGAATCATGCAACCTTGAATTCTAATCTTCCAAAGACCACCCTTTCAAAAAGAAAAAATCAAGACCATGGCCAATCCCCTCAAACTCTGACAACTGGCAGTGATGGCCGAGAGGTCTCCAATGCTGGTCATTAGAGCTCCAATGGTGGTGATTAGAGCTTCAGCGATGGTGATTGATGAATTATATTTTTTAAAACATAAAATAATGTAAGGGTATTTTTGTAATTAGGGATTTGAGACTTGGCAACAATTTGGATATTTCATAGAACTTTAGGGTAATTGAATTTCTTGGGTAGTAAGATTTCACCGTGATTTTCCCTAATTGCTTCTTCCCGCATCATGAAGTGATATTTTTAAAAAGTTAATGAATATTTTTACCCCTCATCAACTTTTTGTTTAAGAGTGTTTGATATTATAAACTTTTATGTGGTGTAATTTATTCAAACTTGAAGTTAGTTATAATTGTAGAGTTACAAATTTTACATGTCAACTAGAGACCAAGTTTAGAGTGCTTTGAGTGAGAAATCACAAGTTGCTCAGTGCAAGGTGAATTTGGATGGTTTAAATTTTTGATACCACCTAATGCTCTAGCTAACAAAATCGATTCATATATATAAAGAAGAGAAATGAATGAGCTTCTCTGAAAATGAAGTTTTGGCAAAGTATTTAGTATTAATAAAATTTTATTTTTATTAACTTATTTTATATTTCATGACAATGAAATATTTTTAAAGTTGTTTTATGATTTAAAATAATAAGAATATTATTTAATTTAAAGCTACACATGTAATTCCTGTATCTCTAAGAAAACGATTAGCCACCCGATGACGTGGATGAATTCATAAAGTCTATATGTAAAGAATATAACGGTACCAGACGGCATAGGTGATCGGATTGGATCGTCTCAAAAGTTCATACGTGAAAATCGCATGCCTCGTTTGATCAAATTTATCTCTATTCCTTCTATCCAATAAGTCACATTCAATAACTGCTTGGGAAAATACTTGTGAAGTCGTACTGAAGGAATTTAATTATACTGAAATTCATGAAATGCTAAAATTACTATCGAATCCCAAATTCATGCACAATTACAAAAATATCATTGTGGAGTAGGCACTATGATATATAGCTGGGTACAGCGATCAGATCGTGTGTACTACCCCTAGAGCTTTTAATGTCGTTCGTGCGCCATTGGCTGTCTTAATGAAATCTGCCTCGGAAGTTCTGTATCGCTCTTAATTAGTAATTTAAATTAAATTTAATGAATCACTGCCAAATTGCTTGAAAAATTTAAAATTAAGTTCAGAAAAAATTAATTTTTCAAAAAATTATAAAATATAATAAATTTGGACCAAGCCCAACTACCAAATTGCTTGAAAAATTTAAAAATAAGTTCAAAAAAATTAATTTTTAAAAAAATTATAAAATATAACAAAATTTGGGCCAAGCCCAAACCCGTAAATCCAAAAAAAATTAATTTTTAAAAAATTATAAAATATAATAAATTTGTGCCAAGCCCGAGTACTAGAAAAAAATAATTTTTAAAAAATATGATAAATATTAATTAATTTTTTAAGTTCTATATCATTTTATACTAAAATATTAAATATTTAAGTGTATTAATAATATTTATTTTTTAAAAAAATTAAAATAGTTATATTTTCATATTTTTATTTTTTTAATCAAAAAAAATATTTTAAAATAATATTCAAAATATATTTTAATATTTATTTTTATATTTTAAGACCTAATTTTTTTAAAAAAAGTTTTAAATCTTATACATCATTTGCATATAAAAAAATTAATTTTATATTTTTTATAAAATAAGATAATTAGTTTTAAAGTAAAAATAAAATTAGGGTATATATGAATTCTGACTCCACTAATAGATAAATATAATAAATAAAATAATATTCTTAAATAATTACTTGATTATTGTTCATGCTGAACTTAATTAAAAATTAAAAATAAATTAGAGTAACAATTTTTTATATGTAAGAGTTAAACAATATAAAAACTTAAAGAAAAATAATTTTAAAAAAATAATATTTTACTTATAATTAAATAATTTTTTCTTATATAAGATAATGATAATTATTTTTCTATATTCATAAAAATAAAAAGTACAATTTGCCCAAAAGTTATTAAAAATTTTGAACCAATTAGGAAAATAATTTTAAATTAGTAGTCTAACCGTGATTGAATTGAGATCAACTTAATCATAATAAAATAATATAATTTAATTAAAATATATAAAATAGTTATATATGACTATAATAAGAGCAATATTTAAATAATTAAGACATTAAGTTACAAGTAAAAGAAACATTCATGAATAAATTACACATAATACAACAAAACAATAACATAGTTATTTAAGTACAAAGTTAATAAAATTTTTTTATTTTATTCTTTTAAAGTTAAAATAATATTTATGCTCAATAGAATTATTTAAAAATTAAAATTGGTTCAAAAATAAAAAAATATTTTTAAAAATTTTGGATATTCGGGCTGACCCTAATAAGCCCGAAGGTGTTACGGCCAGACTTGGTTTATGGGCTTTTAAAAGGGTAGGATATTTTAAACTCAACCTGAATAAGCCTGACCCAAATTGAACCCAATTTAAATAAATTCAACCCGCTTGAATTATTAACCCTAGTTTTTATTGCACTTTTAGTGTGACTGCAACTTCTCTAGCTACTATCCATCATGCATGGAATAAGTTGTAGGAGGCTAGTGCCTTCCATCCTTCTGCGATGAGTGATGACTGCCTGATTCTAGTCAGGTTATCATCGATCATTAATAAATAAAACTTTTGTTGAGTACGTGACAGTGTTGTTTCAAGGTTTTAGTTTTTGTTTCTTATTCATTTGGATGTTGTTCAGCAACACAAATCAAAATGAAGCCACAGCTCAATGATGTCCTTATTTATTTAAATTAAATACAAATATATCCTAAATGTAATTTTCATTCTAAAGTATTCAATTAAAGATGCAATATCACCCCAACATTTTTTTAAAAACAGTACATTGTCACTTTACCATAATAGAAACACCATGCAGAGTTATTCTCGTGAGATTAGTCCCACACATCGATGCTATATATGTTGCAGTATTTTTTTTTTTTTAACATTTTCCATGTATTCCAGTTCTTCTTCCTTGATCTCACCTCACACTTGCAAGCGCAATATGCTTCTTCAGTCTTCCTCCTCCATCATTTCGTCATAGCCGTGTAAGAAATCAATTCATTTAACTGGGTTTTTTGGTACATGGTTCAAGTTCTAAAGCCACATTATACACACACACACACATGCACACGGAGAAAGTTTTTTTTTTTTTTTTTTTTGCGTCTTTTGTAAAACGACTTCTCAAAATGTTTTGCTTTAAGGGCAAATTTTTTATTGCTTGCAAGAAAGGCCCGTATCTCTTTGTGAAGCAATTATTGAATGCGACTTATTGGATAGAAGGAATAGAGATAAATTTAATTGAAGAGGCATGCAATTATCACGTATGAACTTTTAATAATTTCATGACCAGTAATCACCTATGTCTAGTACCATATTTCTTACTATCTAATCTATGAATTTAAACGTGCTATACATGTGTGTGTATGTATTTGTATATATATTCCATTCATCCACATCATATTCTAGCCAGCAACCTTGTTGCTTTCGGGTTAGGGACCTCTAATATACCCTTCTCTAATGCCCTTTATAATGCCCCAACTTTTCAATTTTATTTTTCATTTTTCTTTGGATCATTGGCTTTTACATACAAGAAGAGATATTTGGATATCTTGATGTCCCAAAATGGTGAAGATTTATATTTTTTATGATTTTTCAAAAATAAAAGGGTGTATTTGCGATATTTTTCTTTAAAAAATTATAAAAAATACAAATCTTTACCTTTGTAGGATATCAAGATATCCAAATGTCTTTTATTTTATGTAGAAGCCAATGATTCAAAGAAAAATAAAAAATGAAATTGAAAAGTTGGGTCATTATAAGGGGTATTAGAGAAGGGCACATTAGAAGCTCCTAACCCGTCGTTTTCTCATTTTTCTTAGCTAGAGATATTAGAGAAGGGAATATTACAATCAAGGACCCTAAGAAACAATTAATTATGCTGCATGACCAAATGATTCTAACATTATTTTGCAGGACCAAAGTCTCTACCTTTATTATGAAAAGATAAAAATATCCTTCATGTGTATATTACATATATACTCTTTTAACAACAACTTCCCGTTTGAAAAAAAAACCGAGTTCCATTTATATTTTAACAACAATTAATATTTTATTAACAATTTTAAAGAATTAACTTGGCGATGTAGAGACACAAGTATTATAATTTAGTAAACAAGCCCCCCTTAAAAAAAAAAGTCTTGTTTCCATTCTAATAACAACCAATTCTCTTATTAACAATTTTAAAAAATTAACTTGGTCGTGGAGAGAAATAAATGTTATGATTCGGTGAATAAATCTCCATTAGAGAAAAGTAATTTTATTTTTATTTTAACAATAATCAATTCATTTATTAATAACTACATAGTTTTAATTTGGTAAAGTAATTGTTATAGACTGGTGAACAAGTCTCTGTTAAAAAAAATAAATTTCATTCTCATTTTAACAAAAATCAATTCCTTCACGACAACAAAAATACATTAGGGGTACATAGTATTATTTTTTCACAATAAATTTTAATTATATTTAGGTACTTTTATCTTGCAAAGTAATATTAGAATCATTTGAACCTGTAATGTAATTAATTATCTTCAGGGTCCTTGATTATAATTTTCCCAAAGAAAATTGCATGTTAGCGACTTTAAATTAAATAATACATTCATTTAAAAAATATATGAGGAACCGAACATGGATCAGCGAGGTTAAATTGGATCTAATGCTAATCTTATCACTTAATTAAAAAAAATCTAACATTAATAACACGTGCCATGTAAACGTCTTATTCCATACTACCGCGTCATTAGCCGATTGGTTCTTGAATCCTAGAGTACAAAGTAAAACGTTAAATAATTTGACGCTAATTAATGACCCTAAACCCAGCCCAGGCCACCATAAGTTGGTTCTGTTGCTTCTCCTTTCCTATCTTTATATAATATTTGTGTATCCTAAACCCTATCTTTATTAAAAAATAAAAATACTCTTCATGTATATATTATATATACACTCTTTTAACAATAACTTCTCGTTAGAAAAAAAAAAGAGTTCCATTCACATTTTTTGCAATAATTAATTTTTTTATTAACAACTATAAAAAATTAACTTGGTGGTAGAGAAAAACAACAGTAAACAAATCTCGATTAAAAAAAAAACAAGTCTCCTTTCCATTCTAATAATAATCAATTCTCTTATTAACAACTCTAAAAATTAACATGATCGTGGAGAGAAACAAGTGTTGTGATTCACTGAACAAGTTTCCATTAGAAAAAAATAAGTTTCATTTTCATTTTAACAATAATTAACTCATTCATTAACAATTACAAAGTATTAATTTAGTAAAGGAATTTTATAGTCTGGTAAACAAGTCTCCATTCAAAAAAAAAAGTCTCATTCTTATTTTAACAATAATTAATTCTTTCATGACAACAAAAATACATCAAGAGTACATAATATTACCTTTTCACAATAAATTTTAATTATATTTAGATCTTTTTGTCTTGTAAAGTAACATTAGAATCATTTGATACTGCAGTGTAATTAATTATCTTTAAAGGTCCTTGATTGTAATTTTACCAAAGAGAATTGCATGTTAGCAACTTTAAATTAAATAATACGTTCATTAAAAAAATATATGACGAACCGAATGTGGACGAGCGAGGTTAAATCGGATCTAATGCTAATCTCATCACTTAAAAAAATCTAACATTAATAACACATGCCACGTAAACGTCTCATTCCATACTACCGCGTCATTAGCTGATTGGTTCTTGAATCCTAGAGGACAAAGTCAAACGTAAAATAATTTGACGCTAATCAATGACCCTAAACCCAGCCCAGGCCACCATAAATTGGTTCTGTTGCTCCTCCTTTCCTAAAACAAGAAGCGCATTGCCTTGCTTCTTTCAACCCACTTTCATGGCTTCCAAAACACAAGCTCTCGTCCTCCTTCTTTTCCCCTTCTTGGTCTTATCTCACTCGAGCTCTTCCCTGTCTTGTCCAATTGTCACCTACTGGGGACAGAATGGGGGAGAAGGAGAGTTGGATACAGCATGCGACACCGGAAACTACGAGATCATAAACATCGCATTCATGAACACATTCGGCAGTGGACGGACTCCAAACATTGACCTCTCAGGACATTGTGATTGGTCCACCGGTGTCGCTAATTGCACCGGATATTACTCCCAAATAGCCTACTGCCAAAGCAAAAGCGTCAAAATCTTCCTCTCTCTTGGAGGAGCTTCTGGGCAATATGGCTTTTCTTCAGCTGACGACGCCAAGGAGTTTGCAGATCACCTCTGGACCTACTACCTCAGTGGCCAAAGTTCAGGTCTACTGGGTCTCGTCGCCTTAGATGGCATCGATTTTGACATCGAAGGGGGTACAAACTTGTACTGGGATGTGCTTCTGCAAGAGCTTTACACATACAGCCAACAAAAGAAGATTTACTTATCAGCAGCGCCACAATGCCCAATCCCAGACTACTACTTAAACACTGCCATCAGCACAGGGCTGTTCGACTATATTTGGGTCCAGTTCTACAACAACCCTCCCTGCGAATACACCGACGATGGAGATACTCAGAAACTTATAAATTCATGGAACCAATGGACCACCGACTTCAACGCCACCAAGTTCTATGTCGGCCTCCCGGCTTCTCCTGCTGCAAATGGTAGTGCTGGTGGTTATGTCCCAATTGATGTGCTCAACAATGAGATTCTTCCGGTAGTAGAAACATCTCCCAAGTTTGGTGGGGTGATGTTATGGAGCAGGTACTATGATTATATATCTGGGTACAGCGATCAGATCGTGTGTACTACCTCTGGAGCTTTTAATGTCGTACGGTCGCCGTTGGTTGCCATGATGAAGTCTGCCTCGGAGGTTCTGGATCGCCTTTTATCGCACTTGTAGTGTGACTGCAACTTCTCTAGTATGGAATAAGTTGTAGGAGGCCAGTGCCTTCTATCCTTCTGCGATGACAGCCTGATTCTAGTCAGGTTATCATGGATCATTAATAAATAAAAACTTTCATTGACTGCGTGATACTGTTGTTTTAGTGTTTTAGTTTTTGTTTCTTATTCATTTGGATGTTGTTCAGCAACACAAATCAAAATGATCCCATGGCTCAATGATATTCTTATTTATTTAAATTTAAATACAAATCTATCCTAAATGTAATTCGCATTCCACCACAAAAATGCAGTAAATTAGTGATGAAATTTAATGATTGAATAAATTTTTATGGTTAATCCATCACTAATTCCATCTCTTAATTAGCGGTGGAATTTCTTTAATATTATAAAAAATATTAATAAAAAATCAACTAAAAATTTGAAATAAAACTGAGACGAAACCGTTCAAAACTTCAAATAATAAATTTTCGCCATACAGATTTTATCTTGAGAACGAATAGACGTTGCTCATCCAAAATCAAGCCGGCACTGGTAAAAAAAAGTTTAAATGCTTTTATGATTAAAAAAAATGCTTACTCATGAATTTTAATTCCTCTATTCCATGTTTTAGATCTTCATTGACAAAATACCATGTTATCGCAAAAATTCTAGGTGTCTGTGTCACTCTCTAAAAAACTTTTCCAAACCTACCACTACCAGCGTGCTAGGGATAAGGGCGGGACAGACAATTGTATGCGTCCATCATCATATCCCAAACTTTTATCCAAAAAAAAAAAAAATCACCTCCCATAAATATTCAAAAAACGACGAAATCCATCCTTGTCCGTCATGTTTTCTTTTTTTTGGCCTGATGTCCGTCATGTGAATTAACAGAAGGCCTAGCTACTCTAGATTAGAGTAGGCTTAATTTAATTTATTATATATTATTTGAGTGTTTCGATATTGTGTGAAGAGATCATATTATTGAATATTTTTTGTAAACATGTAAATTAATAGACTGTACGTAATCAGTTTTTTTTTTATTCTGACTGTACCTATGAATGGTGGTAGCTGCTACTCTGGACGCACGGCGTACGTGGTCACGCATCAGCCTAGTAAGTACCCTATCGAAACCCTACTTTTAACCCTTGTGTGGCAGTAGTATATCTCGGTAGATCCTGATCCCGGCTTGGACTAGAAAAGTGGAACACGAAGATGCTAACCGCCCCCCGGGGGGGGGGGGGGGCGGGAGTGACAATGTTTGGGTGGTATGATCATTAGGTTCGTACTACCGTGGTAGATGAAGACGGTCTTTTACCTCCACTATTCATATTTACTTACCGAGGGTAATTTTTTTTTGTTTTTTTGTTTTTTTGGGTGTTGGTGCGCTGAGCGGCTGAGGGGAAATTTAATATAGTGCATTAAGGAAATACTGAAGGGTGAATCGAATACTGAAGAAGAGATGGAATATTAAAATAGAAAAAATGAAATTGTTGAGATTTGGTGAGCAGACAGCGGCGACAGAGTCAAAAAGATTGAGCTGTCTGTCACTCTGGGACTGTCATTCACATGGGATTCCAAAATGACCTTTGGGGAAAAGAAAAGACAAACTTGCTGTCCGAGTAGCCTTTTATATTTGTTTATGAATATATTATTTTGATATGGTAACAAATGTGAAATTATGTCGGTGTGTGCAGGATACGGCGCTTGCGAGTTTCCAGCACGATAACGTGGTGAAGAGGATCGAAGAGAACCGACAGTATAGTCACATATTAGGCCTGATTTTGCAGTGTAAAAAGTGAAGAAACAATGGGGGTCTGATGAATTTTTTGGAGTTTGGGAATGTATCAATAATGATAATGAAGTTACATATTCGATTTTAATGTCTCACTCCTCCCCCCCCCCCCCCCGGCGACACATCTTCTTGCCATGATCTACAGTAACGCCTGTCCAATAAACGGGAATTCCCATCCCTTCGAGTTCTGGGCAAGGAATATTGGAGTGGATTTCTCTCCTCTGAGAGTTTTTTTTTATTTATATTTTTAAATTAAAAATATATAAAAAGTATAAAAAAATTTTAATAAATATACTAATAAATCTGACAGTCCATATTTAATATAGATGCTTCAAATTTAATATAAAAAACTTAAATTAATTTTTTAGATTTATTCTAAACAGTATAAATATATTTTGAACATAACAGTAAATTTATTAAAAAAATTTAATATTAATTTTAGATCATCTATGTTAAGTCTGAACTGTCAAATTAATAAATATATTTATTAAAAAAATTTACAATTTTATATATTTTTTATTTTAAAAATATAAATAAAAAATAAAAAATTAAATCTAAACCATCTAAATTAAATTTGAATGATTTAGATTAATTCTTTACCTAGATTAAGTCTCTGCCTCAGAGGAGAGATAGAGGAGGCTTCTCTTTCCAGAATATTGGTTGAAATGACGTCATTGCCTTCAAATCTTGCTCCGCAGTCACCACCGGCAACGAGAAGCATTCAGATTTCGGGGAAGGGACGTGCAGGTGGGAGAGGATTTGTATCTCCTTTTACATCGTTCCCATCCTCTTCATTTTCTAATTACAAGATTAATATTTAAACAGTATAAATTTAATCTCTTATAATTAAATTTTTTTAAATAATCCAAACAATTTAAATTTTCATTAAAAAATAAAAGAAAATTGGAAAGGAAGGGTAGAGATCAGAGTCCTATGTCTTCAATTCTCAGAACAAGCCTGGATGCGGATATTCCAAAAGTGGAGTCTTTCAGAAGCTTTTCGACTGATTGTGGGACAATTGAAGCACATGGTGGTTATATTACAATGCCTCTCTTTCAATTCATAAAACAATTTTAAAAAAATTTGACGTGCCAAAATATGACATAATTTAAAAAAATTAAAATTTTATTGAATAAACTTATTTTAATAATATCATTTTTTATTATTATAAAATATATTTTTAAGAGCGAGTCTTTAAAAATACTTATTTAAAAAGCGTTGGAAAGCAAAATTTATCAAAATATTTTTTTAATAATAATTTAATGACACAATTTTCAAGCGAATTACAGACACAAAGGTAAATAGAAGATGAGAGGTGGCTGCTTACTATGGAGTCTGTTGTTACACCCCATAATGCGATCCTCATTTACAGGAATTATGGTTCCGGTTGCACGATTGCGACCCTAGATCCATTTAGTTACTAGAAAAAAATATAATGTAATGGATTTAAAAATATAAGTAAAAATGAGATGATTAAAAGAAATGATGAACAACATTCGAGGAGGAACTTATAAATTCATGGAACCAATGGACCACTGACTTCACCGCCACCAAGTTTTATGTCGGCCTCCCGGCTTCTCCTGCTGCAAATGGTAGTGCTATTGGTTATGTCCCAATTGATGCGCTCAACAATGAGATTCTTGTAGTACTAGAAACCAATCCCAAGTTTGGTGGGGTGATGTTATGGAGCAGGTACTACGATTATCAATCTGGGTACAGTGATCAGATCGAATGTACTACCCCTAAGCTTTTAATGTTGTAGGTGTTGTGTGTGTGTATGTCAAAAATGTGTGTGTATTAAAGTCCCACATTAATTAAATGAGTGACTCTCTTAGTATATAAATATTAAGGAATGAAGTGAATTAGTAAAATTGATTTAAAAAAATAGTGGACTTGTGCACATGAGACAAGTTAATTTAAGGTAATTGTAGTTGAAGTCTCTTCCATCTTTGTGTTGTTCATCTGAGTTCGTTTTGGTTTTTGCTGTTCTATTTCCTTGTTCCGTAAGAAGTATTTGTTTAATTTTGAAAAACTATCAATCCGTCGTCCCAGTGTGCTGGAATAGTTCTTAAAAATAATATTTTTTCGGACACTATTCAAGCAGTTCATAGTTTGTCGTTCATGTCTACTGCCAATGTTGCCAACAGTAGGTGCACCGTTGGTCGCCATGATGAAATCTGCCTCGGAGGTTTTGTATCGCCATTTATCGCAGTTCTAGCGTGACTGCAACCTCTCCACTACATGTCATGTGTGGAATAAGTTAAAGGGGGCTAGTGCCTTCCATCTTTAAGTGATAACAGCCTGATTCTAGTCAAGCTGTCATCATTAATAAATAAAAGCTTTCATCGAGTACATGATAATATTGTCTTAAGGTTTTAGTTTTTCCTTTCTTGCTCATTTGGATGTTGTTTGCGATCGTGCTGTGCACACGGACACAGACAGAAACACAAATCAAAATGGACTCATATGTAGTTCAATGACGACATTGTCTAATTATTTCACGCCCCACCTGCTTCTAATTAATAAATAAAAACTTTTCGTTGAGGTATGTGAACGTGATATTGTTGTTTTAAGGTTTTAGTTTGTGTTTCTTGTTGATCTGAATGTCGTTTGCGATCTTGGTGGAGATATGCTGGCACCGCAGTTTCTCCAAATTAAACTAAACTACCAAAAAAAAAAAACACAACCTGTAGAAAAATAGGATATATACTTGTAGACTTTTGTCGTATTGTTTTTTGTTGAGGGCCGTTTAATATCTTACGCCAATTATGTTATATTGGTGTCTCTCTGTTTTTCTTGTTGGGCTCGATCCAAAACACACAAAAGAAGATCAATCCAAATATCACGATCGGCGATTTTGGTGCCCTGTAATTTCAGTCATGCATGGTCCCAGAATCAGTGGTGAGTTGAGTCGTAGGAATTTACTAGTCAAAGCATGTTTTCAGGTTTAAAGAACATTTGTAGAGGTATTTACAGTCTTACAGATCACTTATGTACCAACAAGATTTTTACATTGGTAATGTAATTTAATATCATAATTTTGTGAGTGATAAGCTAAATTATTATTAATTGAAATTATTTTGATCTTGTCAACCTTGGTCCATGGCTTCCAAAACACAATGACCTGCACAATCGTCATCTATGTTGGGCTGAAAATACTTAACTATTGAGCCCAATAATATAAAACAAGTGAAATAGAAACAACGTTCTGTAAGATCCAGTAAAGCCCATAAAGCCTACATTTTCCACCGACCACCGTCCAATCATTTCATTAATCTCAAGTGATTTCTTTTCCATTTTCTTTACCTAAATGGCTGAGTCTACGGCTAGTGATTCGAGCCAAGCTTAATATATCA